CCGGGCTTAAACCATCCTCCATAAGAGTGTATATGGCGGCAATCTCTTACTACCGTGGGACAATACAGGGTTTTTCCATTATTTCTCATCCATTGGTTAAGAGATTTCTTAAGGGACTCTGCAACCTCCATCCAACTATCAGACCGCTTATGCCCACGTGGAGTCTCTCAGTGGTACTACAGGCATTAACACAACTTCCCTTCGAGCCCTTGGCAACAATTGATTTACGTCTTGTTTCTTGGAAAACTGCTTTCCTTATAGCAGTTACTTCAGCCCATAGATCTAGTGAAGTCTGTGCCCTCAGGGTAGACCCTCCACTTTTGAATTTTCACAAAGAGAAAGCAGTGCTCCGAATGGACCCGTCTTTTCTTCCAAAAGTAGCTACATCTTTCCACATGGACCAGGAGATTATCTTGCCTGCATTTTTCCCGTCTCCTTCGAATCCGATCGAGAGGTCCCTGCATACTCTCGATGTCCAGCACTGCCTAGCTTTCTACAGATCAAGGACTGAGTCTATTCAACATTCCAATAGACTCTTCATTAAATATTCAGAACAAAATCGAGGTTTTCCGGTTACTCCTCAGAGACTATCTAAATGGATAGTTCACACTATTACTTTGTCCTATCAGTTGGCCAAGATAGACTTACCGACAGTTCCCAGAGGTCATTCCACTAGAGCTGTAGCTGCTTCTTCAGCCTTTGCGTCGGGAGTCCCGATTGAGGATGTATGCAGAGCTGCCACCTGGGCTACTCCATATACTTTTGCAAAGCACTATAGACTGGATGTTCGTGCTAGGCAGGACTGCTCATTTGGCAGAGCCGTTCTTTCAACTATTCTTCGTTGATGACACCTCCCTCCACCAGTTCAGGTAAGCTTGTTATTCTACCCATATGTGTGATGCACAGAGGCCACAACGAAGAAGAGCAAGTTGCTTACCTGTAACTGATGTTCTTCGAGTGGCCATCTGTGCAGTCACACAACCCACCCGCTGGCCCCGCTTGGTGTCAATGGGTGGTTCTGGTTTTTTCCTCAGTACCAACAAAAATTTTTATTAGAGAGCGAACGTCTGGTCTGTCAAAGACTGGAAAATGGTGGACACTCCACTCCATATATACTGCTAGGGGGGAGGGGGAGCAGAGCTTCCCACCAAACCGTTAGCTATCAATCTTCCGGCCATAGGCGCTGCACAGGCGCAGAACCCATATGTATGACTGCACACATGCCACTTGAAGAACATCAGTTACAGGTAAGCAACCTGCTCTTCTTACTACTGTCATATGACAGTCTGTTAACCTGTTGGAGGACTTTATTTTAAGATGGAAGAGAAGGACAAAAATGCTTCAAAAACTACATCTGCAATGACATAGTTGGAAACTCTTGACATTATTTTATTTGACTTTTTTGGTTGGTTGGTTGTGTTTTATTTTTATTTTCCTAAAGAGAAGCAGCTTGGGAAGGGAAGTCTGGAGTTGCGAAATGGCAGTGAGGAGCTGACAGCACCCTTTTTCTGCTTGGCTTTTCTCTGTTTGGTGCTGGGGTTCCTTTATAAACTTTTGCATCAGGTGGGCCGTTTGCCCCTTGTCCCTTTAAAAGGCACCTACCCTTTGCTTCTGTGCATTCATTTCCTTGCACAGCCCTCAGTCTGTGTTCAAGGCTGGGAGACCACATCACAAAACCTAGTCTGGACGCATCTATGCACAGAGTCATGTGTTGCTTAAGCCCTTCATTGTTGTTGTGATGTGCCACCAAGTCATTTCCCACTTATGGTGACCCGAACCATTGAATGGAAGCCCCCCAGAACGTTCTGCCCAAGGCAGCGCTGTTCAGCACTTCTCAATCAGGGCTGTGAGTTCTTTTACAGAGTCCATCCATCTCTTACTTGGTCTTCCTTTTCCTCTCCTGCCTTCAACTTTCCCTAGCATGTTGGCCTTTCTCATGATGTGCCCAAAGTACGACAGCCTCAGCTCTGTCATTTTGCTTCTAGGGAAAGCTTTGGTTTGATTTGATCTAGAATCACGTGTTTGTCTTTCTGCTGGTCCAGGGTATTCGCCAAGCTCTGCTCCAGCACCGTGCTCCACATGCAGCGGTTTCCGTCCTGTCGGCTTTCTTCACTGTCCAGCTTTCACACACATGCACAGAGACCAAGAATGCTGGTCCTTCATCAATTTATGCCCACACACATATGCACTGGGGGAGATGGAGTTTGTTGGCTTTGTTAAGATGTGTTATCTCCACTGACAGATCGCATCCTTTTCACGGGGCCTCCTTTCCCCCTGACTTCGTCATACTCCATTGGGCATCAGAAGCTCAGACCATCGTAACAAACCTCTTCCTAGCAGCTGACATGACACATCAGCAACTGCTTCTGCCAAGGAGACAGTCCAAGACTGAGACGATCTGGTCCCCCACAGGAATTTTGGGAGATCTGAGCCAAAATTGTCTTCAAGAAAGGGATTGTTAACTCTTGTCATAATACAAGCCCTGGTGAATTAAGAAACAGAAGCTTTTCTGGACACCAAAAGCTGTTGCATCTTGGGCATGTCTGGATTTGGCTGTCTATTTCTTTTCACGCTCACGCTTCTCTCTTGCCCTCATGCCAAGCCAGTTACTGGGAGAAAACGGGTTGCAGTTTCATCCCTGGCTCTCTTCTTGAAGCCCTTCTTCCTGCATCTTGAGGCTTGTGGATGCTGTTGCCATGGTTAGTGATTTCAGACAGGCTGCCAGCAATTGCCATCTCATTTGCCTGACAGGGTTGCAACCCTGTCATTGGCCAGAAAAGCTGTTGTCATTCCTCTCAGCTGCGAAACATTGTTTGGAATGTTTGGACCAAATTGTACCTGCTTGTGCTCAAACGCTGATGAAATTTGCTTCTGCTCTCTGATGCGCTTGTAGCAAGGCATCCTGCTGCTTGTTAACATTGAGCATACCTAGAATGCATTGCAGTGTTCAGAGTGCTCAGTGTCGATCACTGGTTAACCCTACAGAAAGGCCTGTTAGGTAGGGTAATATTCAAAAAATTATTTAATCCATTTACAGACATTTGATTATATCTTTTAAATAGTGCTTTATAGCAAGCACTGTAGAATATGCAGTGTTCACAGTTAAAACTTGTAAAAACAGAATACAGCATGTCTCTGTTAAAAACATTTAAAACAACTTCGCATTCCCATTCCTCTGGGGGAAAAACATTCCCAGTCAAAACTTTAAAATCAGGCAATTAATAAAGAACACAGTGGTCAGCACCATCTGTTAGGGAAGCTCTGGGGAAACAGTCAGTCTTTAGGTGGTGACCAGAACATGCCTCAGCTAGAGCCTTCTGCATCCCAAGCAAGAGGCCATTCTATGGAGAGGGTGCCACCATGGAGAAGGCCTCCGTGGTGCCACCAGATAGCAGTCTGAAGGTTGTACTACAACCAGCAAGGCCACAATGCACAGAGGACCGAGGGGAGGGGAGCTTGTCTAAGGCCACATGATATCCAAACTGGGGTCTTCCCAGTTCGCAGCTCCTAAACTGAGCCGCTCTCAGGAGCTCTTTTGCCTGACTCTGCTGCCTTACAAGACGCTGTTGTAATATGCTGGCAAGTTGCCTCCAACTTAGGGCACCCTATGAATGAAAGCCCTCCAAAGTCTTGTCTGTGGCAGCTCCATTTGGTTCTTCCAAGTCCATTCAGTCCATCTCCTGTTTGATTTTCCCTTTCTTATTTGCCTTCAACTTTCCCCACCGTGATTAAGCCTCCCCATCACTGTAGCTAGAGATGCCAGAAATCACACCTGTGGCCCCCTGGCTGCAAAGCTGCTGCTTATTCTATGAGAAAGTATGAGCTGTATAGCGGAGATTGTGCAGCACTGGCTGCGGAGGGTCAAAACCGTGAGCTTCCCATCTGCAAGCTTGCAAGTTCGGTTCCTGCCCATCAATACACGACCTGCAGTGAGGCATGAGGTCAGGCCTGGTCTCCTTGCATGACTGGAGCCCCAATAAAGGGGATGGTTCTCAAGGACGTGACCCTTTCTTGGAGCATTCCCAGCATTGTGCCTGTAGAATCCACTGTTCCAGAGGTATTCTGAGGATAGCGGCCTGTTTTTTGCTTGCCAGAGCCCCACATGGAATTCGGCAGCAGCTGAAAAACTGCGCTCATAACAGGCCATCGGCAGCAATCTGCCAAGGCTCCTGTAGTTGCTGCTTGATCATTAGAAGGGTCCCATCAGCACATGTTTGCCTGAAAGGTATCCTTGAAACATTGATGGGCTTGAGGGAAATGAACAACTCCTGCAACATCTGACTGCAATCTTTTTTCTTTAATTTGAGAGTTCCTTTGTTGCCAGTGATGCAAATGCTCTATGTTTTTATGCATTCAGAATCCTTTCCAACAGACAGGCCTCTGAACTGTGTCTGTTCTTTTGCTTGTCTCTGTTCGGGGCATAATTTTAAAGGCCACAGCCCCCAGAGCTGTAGTATTCCTGTGCTTCTCCAGAGATCCAGCTATGCCCCTATCAAGACGGGGGTAGCCTGGTTTCAGCAATCTATAATTTCATAATCCCCAGGACGGATTACTGCAATGCATGGGGCTGCCCTTGAAGGTCCTTTGGAAGCTGCAGCTTGTGCAAAAATAGCAGACAGATTAATAACTGGGACCTGAAGGTCCAAACATTGCATGAGCTGCCAGCCCTGTTTCAAGGTGTTTGTTTTAATCTATAAGCCTTGCACAAATTGGGACGGCAGTGCCTTTTGGCTTCCTCTCCTGACCCAAATTTGCCTGACAATGGGTTGAACATCTGAGACCTTCCTCTGAGAGCCACTTTTGAAGGAGGTTATCAAAGTGTTACCACCCAGGCAGCTTGGGCTATTGGGCGGTAAACAATTGAAATAAATAATAATTGCAACAGCAACATAATGTGATTTTGCTCATACTGCTGACAACAAAACCAGTGTGTTCTGTCCATGTGGCAAGACATGCGTTGCACTGAAAACTCATCCTCTAAATATGTCGTTTGGTTTCAGCTATCTTCTGCCCCATCTGCTTCCCACCAAGCCAGCTTTTGATGTCCACAGCTTACACCACCAGACTGCAAACACCATCCAAAGGGTGTTCAAGATGAGTTTTGTCCCCATTGGCTTTTGGCAAAGGTTTATCGCTCGGATGCTCATTAGCCTTGCAGAGATGGATCTCCAGGTATGTGGATGCCGTCACTTGGGAGGGGTCTTAGAGAATGAGGTTGGCAGATGATGAAAGCATCCAGGATGACTGTTTGCCCATTTCCCCATCCTGGGATGCATGTCAACATGTGGGATTGCCGGCTCCAGGATGTAAGTGGCAGGTGCCCATGACTGGAGCGCCAGGACCAGGGACGACGGAGGCGGATGGAGGTCTTGGCGAGGTGCAGAAGGGCCAGAGGCAGAAGCGACATCAGATGCAAGTGAAGGCCGGACTCCAGCAAGGCAGGGCGGACCCAGCAGTGAAGGCAAATCCAGAAATAGGCAGAGGTCTCATGGCAGCAAGGTGCTGCAGGATCAGCGGGAAAAGTGACATCCGGTAGTGGTAAGGGTCAGATAACTGCAAGCCATTGCAGGACTAGAAGTGAAGGAGGCATCAGAAATAAGAGAGTGTCAGGTACAACAAGGCATGGCAGAACAAGAAGCAAAAGTAAGCAAGTTGGGAAAAGGCAAGGAACAGGAATCAGTCATGATGAAGACATATACACTTTGTGCCCCGGTATATTTTATGTATAACAAGTTACCCTATTATTATTGAAGATAATAATGTCTAGACTTCCACAGAGGCAGCCCAAATATCCATATATCTGTCCATCTTCAAAAAATCAAAAGCTCCACATCCTCTTCCTGTTGTGGTATTGCAGGTAGCTGTTTGTCGTCTGTGGCTGGAATATTAACATTTTAGCTGTTTGGGGGCACAGTAAGGCTAGTGATGCTCCTGAAACGCCATGCTTGTTGGACTTCTTGGTCCTGCCCTAGGAAGTGAGCCATGCTGAAGCAAGATCAAGCCCACAATGCTCACAATTCCCTTCTTTGTGCTACATTATTCTCTTACTAAGTACACAAAGCCCACAAGTCATGTGTGCAGAAGCAGAATTTTGTTGGTGCAAAGGGTGTGCAGGCAGCTTATGCACAAGCCAGCTTTGCGAGTTACACCTGCACAACAGGTAGACGACTTACTTTCTTCTGGATGTCCACGTGGATGCTCAGTGTGAGTCGGGCTTAGGGCAGAGAGAAATGGGCTGAAGTCTGGGGTGCCAAGCTGAGAAATTCCAAGACTCACAGATCACTAAGGTTTGCAGCACAAGGCGGAGCATCTTGAGGCCTGGGCAGCCCTGCTGTCACAGAGGAGCAAGGAGGCCTTGAACACATGATGAAGGGGCCGGTTGAGAGATTTCAGGCTTAGAAGCCTTAGATGTACAGTATATCCCTGAAGTCTCTGTGCAGCTTTGATTAATGCAAATAGTGTTGCTCACATGCAAGGCCCATTCAGAGGTACCAGATATGGCCAGAGACAGGACACTTCCCCTCCTCGCTACGGTGCACCAGGCATTCCAGAAGCATCCTTTAATGCCACGGGTGGGTTTTCGAAAGCCTGCTTTCGGGGGCCTCCCGATGGGGGCCTCCGTCAGGATGCTTCCCGCAGAGCTTCTTTGAAATGGGATTTGACTTTTGAGCTGAAGGCACCAGAACCAGAGGCAGTGGAACCTCTGGGTGCCACACACATCGCACTCAGCACCCAAGTTCATAGAATCGAATGAAGTTGAATTGCACGCTTCATATATCGAGTGCAAGCCTACCAGAATTGCACTTTAGACAGGGATCTAGATCTGAAAGCAGCAAAGACATATTTTTAGCATCATCAGCTTTTTAGACCCCCCACCCCACCCCACCCCACACACATTTCTGAAGAGCCTGCAGGCCTCCAGCTTCGTTCCTATTATTGGCGCTGATACAAATCAGCAGAACAACCCGCAGGATAACAGGATAATAACAAGAAAGTGCAAGCCGGTGGGTAATTACACAGATTGCCAAAGAAGTTAATACCAAGGCCGTCCGTGCTGGGAATGAGCTAGCGCCAAGTGCCTTTACTCGGAGAGCCGTGCACGGATTCTAGGGGGCTGCCTCCTTGCCTAAGGAGAAAACCTGCAGCCGCCAGTGTCCCTGGAGGCGTTCTCCAGGCAGCTCCAGTGCCTGCCATGTGTCCAGGGAAGGGGTGGGCAGCAGAGCCACGCTCCATGTTTGCAGGGACCCGAGAGGAAGCGTCACTCGGCAGGATGCCCATTAATAAAGCCAGGAACTGTCCCCAGCTGCCTACTTTCCACCAGAAGGGATCGCCACCAGTCACACTGGTTTTGAGCCAGAGTGCTGCACTGGGGAGACTGGGGTTCTAGTCTCCACTCAGCCACTGGGTGACTTTGAGCCCCTCATTGCCCCTCAATCCAAACAACCTCACAGGGAACTTGTTGTGGAGATAATGGAGCTATTTAAGCTGCCTTGGGTTCCTCACAAGAGGCAAAAAGTGGAATGTAGACAAGGGCTGCTTTTGCTGTGGGGTCGAGACTGTTTGCCTTGCTGAAGCAGCTTTACTCCAGGAGGGAGAGGAGGAGCTGATGTGCCTGTTGAGGGAGGGAAGAGGCATTGCAGCCTCTTTCTGGACCAGGAGAGAGGAGTTGAAGGGTGCCTCCCCAGGCAACTTTGGCTGCCCATGGAACATCCTGCCATTCAGGAAGCCCATATGGCCACAGAAAAGGGGAGTGTACACTTTCTTTGCTTGTTTATGCCTGCTTCTCATTCCATCGTTATATTCAGTGAATGATAGCTCTCCTTTAACCCAGCTAGTTTTGTTTCTTCCTCAGTGTCCTTGAATCTATAGTGAGATGACTTGGCTGGATCAGGACCCAGAGATTTGTCATGGCAGGAACCAAAATTGTGTTGTTTTCAGTGCCTCCTTAAAACTTTATTTTAGAAAGCTTTTTTTTTTTTTTTTTTTTGGTTGCTCAGCCACTAGTTTTTGCTGATATTCTGTCTTCAGATTGTGTTTTATTCTTGTTTTATTGCTCACCACTCCAGAAATTCTTTTCCGGCACAGCACTGTGCACGTGCTGTACATAAATATGTATACCCCTGATTTTGACATACAGCTGGTGTTGGAGGTGGTGTGTCTCCATCCGGCTGTGAACGCTAGCAGTAAGTGCTGCTGCGTATTTGTCCTGTGTGTGCTTCCCATACGCATCCGTTGGGCCATGTGGGAGGAGAATGCTGGCCTGATCCTGCATGGCTCTTCTTGCCCTTGTTCCAGTTCTTTGAAAACAAGAAGAATGCCAAGAGCAGGCACCGGAGGGCCGTTATCTACAACTTTGCCGGCGCACAGCGAACCCGGTGCAGCACCTTTCGAGTTAAAAGGAACCACACGGTTTACTGGCAAGAGGGGCTGTTTGTCACCTTTGATGGAGGATACTTGAGGTAACAGTCCAGGCACTGCTGCAGCATGTGTGCAGAAAACCCGCAGGGGGTGGCACTTCAGTGTGGTGGCACTGTCCACTGCCCCACAGCCACACGCAGCCCTGGGATCGAGGCTCTTTTCTTTACAAGTGGCACATGCACCCGCTGAGCCTGAATTTCGTACTGCTACTGGGCCTGCATCTAGCGCATGGCCTGCTGAGCTCCACAGCTCAGTTCTGCCCCGGTAGCTGTGCATCCAGCTGAGTGGAGGGGGACTTGCTCCCAAGCAGAACGACTGCACACGACTGCAGCCTGAGAAGGCCAACAGTGACACTGGTCCTTTGGCTCACGGCATTTCATCCACCCTGTCGCCTGTCACGGCTGCTGGGGGGCTTCCAGACAGAAGACTGCAGTGTGGCCGATAAAAAGGCCTCGTGCAGCTTTTCTGCCATTCCCATTTTAGGGTGTTTTCTGTGGAAGGCGGAAAGAGGGGGCACATGGTAGCCAGGGATGGATGAGAATTCCTGTTCCTTCTTTCTAAGGATTAACTCAGGTCACATCCTCCAAGCTGGGTACAGCCTTGGACACCACCGGTGTCCATTCCAAGCTTGCAGTACTATGTGCGAAGACAGTAATGCATTTGATGCATATGCACACGATTGCACAAAAAATGAATGCACATCCACTTTACTCAATAGAGGAGGAATGTGTGCATTTCCAAGATGAGCACGCTAGATGCAGACATTGGGCACAAAATGCACATGAAGTCTCATGCGAAAAGCAAACAGAAAAGAAAAGCTTGCAATCTGGCCTAGGCTCCAGCTTGGATGAGCTTCAGGGTGGAACTTGGAGAGCCTTGGCAGCCAGGGCCGCGTTTGATGATTTGCGCATCCCTGCTGGCAGGAGGAGTGAAGAAATGGAAGGCGGTGAATCGAGCAGGGCAATATTGTGCAAACTCTTGAGAGTGTTATGCTAACCAAACAGTATAGAAGTGCTTTGAATAAATAAATAATTCTTAAAAGCAGTCATTGAATTGCTTTGAATAAATAAATACTAGCATTTATGAAAGAAAGAACGAACTGGTAAAGTCGTCACCTGGAAGCATCCTTGGGCAAAGGGAAGGAGCTTCCACAAATACAGCCTCAGCTTGTCTGCAGATATGCTGTCTGCATTCCTCCGGAGGAGCCATCCCTGGGATGAAGACTACTGGACATCTTGGGCTGGAATGCCTATCATCCTGGGTCACTGAACATGTAATCTGGAACTGCTGGGATTTGCAGCCTAAAGCATCTGGAGGGGAGGCTGCCTTAGAGCAGTGCAGTGGCCGCCATGCCTGGGTCATCTTATGACCTCCTAGTTCGGGGAAGGAAAGGGAAGGGAGAAGCAGCAATCTGTGCTTGTGTTCCATTTAAAGAAACGCTGGACTGGAGTGGCCTTCTTCTAAATGGAATTGCCTGGGGAGGCCCTGCGCTCTCTCCACTGGAGGCATCTGAGAGGCAGTGGGACCACCCTCTCTCAGGGATGCCCCAGCTGGAGTTCTGCATGGAGCAGGGGGGTGCCCTCGATGGCCTTAGCGGGCCCTTCCAGCTCTACTATTCCAGGATAAATGAACCCCCTGAACACAGGGCAATATGTATAGGACTAGGTCACACATAGAAGTTGGTGGGGTGGGTGGCCAGGAGCAGACTTTTGAGTGAAAATTAAGGTATCCCAGCTAGCCCAGGGACTCCCTATGGCAACATAAAAGCAGCTTTTGGAGCTGTATGGATGAGTCTGAGCAAAGTCTTGGGCTGGGGTGCCTCCCCTCCCCTCTGTCTTAGCCAAGAAGGGAACTTCAGCAGAGCTTTAAATGTCAAGGAAACTGACTCATCAGTCTGGATGCACCGGACATCATGCTTTGAAATGATGGGCAAGTTCAGCAAGTCAGCAAAGCAACTCACAATTTGAAGTTGACAGGTTCAGAAATTGACCATAAGAGCAAACCGTAGGAATGGTAATTCCGCCCAGGCAGTTGAAACTCAGCAGCAAGGGATGAGTGCTAAGGCTGTTGCTAAATTAAAATAAATAATGAGACTAAACAAAACGAAGCAGTGGGAAGGGAATCTTACCTTTCCACCAGTCAATCCCTTTCTTGGCCTTTCATTCTTGCAGTGTGGAATCTTCCGATGTGAACTGGAAGAAGAAGAAAAGTGGCGGCATTAAGATCATCTGCCAGTCTGATGTGAGGGATTTTTCAGCAATGGCCTTTATCACTGATCATGTCAATTCTTTGATAGACCAGTGGTTTCCCGGTAAGAATGATCACTGTTCATCCCTGCCTATGGTAACAATGAATCAGCCAAGAACCGAAGAACTGCAGGAGGGACCCGTAAGGACTCAGACAGTCCCAGTGGCGCTTGGGGTGGCTTGTCCTTGGAAGGGCTGACTTCCATGCAGCGTCTTGCAGTGGCTTTTGAAGCTCCCTTCACTGTCAAAAGAACTTTCCTGAGTGGTACTGTGGGGGCAGGGCTGCTATGGCAAAAACATGACATGAATGCCCCCCGCTTGCCTAGTTCTTTGGGTCTTACCTATTTTACTTAAACAATTGTCATGTTGCAGTATTATTGTACTATGCCACTTAAGAAAATGGAATTGTATTTTTAAAATACTATGAAGTGATCAGAACCTTAGACCAAATAATAATCCACCTGTCCATTTGCCAAGTGAAACCCAAGGGCATTTTCATAAGCAATGCTAAAGAATCTGGATCGGGGCCACCACATATGCCTGCGGGGAATTACACCTCCCCACTTTTTCTTTAAATTTGCCCTTCTTTCACATGCTCAAGAAAAAATCACTCCAGCAAAGGGTCCCCCCCTTTCTTCCTTAATCCCTCACAGAGTGGAGGAGGCATGTACAGGAAAACAGTTTGTGGGAAGGTTTAAGCACATCCTGCTCATGTGCCTGAGTCCTGATCCACGCCAAGGCTCACACTCTTACACAAAAGTAAAAAGTTACGATCACGTACACGCTACACATTTAATGTAGTGTGATGCTGTTGCTGTTGTTACCAGTATTATTACATTGTATTTTTGTCCCTCCTTATTTTCCTCTTCCCAGCTCCATTTTATCCTCACAACAGCAACCCTGTCGGGTAGGTTGGGCTGAGAGTCTGTGGCTGGCCCAGGGTCACCCCGGGAGCTTCATGGCTAGTGGGGACTGGAACCCAGGTCTTCTGGATCCACACCACAGTGCGTTCACTGCTTAGCCTGAAGGAGATGCAAGCTCTGAATTGCACTCCTGTCTTGGAAGAACAAAGAAATCCATGGCATTTGCTCCGTAACTTCTTTGGATTTTGCAAAGAGAAGTTCTGTAAGCTATTTCATAGTTTGAGCCCCATGCAATGAATCAGCAACGGTTTCCTTCAGCTGGTTTGTGGGTGTTGCTGAGACTGGAGGGAGCATGCAAGAGAACCATTTTAAAAATAAAATTCCAATCCTAGTCGATGCAGGTTTTTCATCTGAATTTCTGACAAGAGAAATACAAAAACAAAATTTAAGCATTGCTTGCAAAAATGGCCTGAGATTTGAGCCTCTTGCTTCTGGCAAAAACAAACAGAAAAAGAGGAAGCTGCAATATGAATTTGCTTTGTTTTACAGGCCTTAAAGGTCAAGCTGTTTAACACAAAGCTTTTGGGTTGGAGGCTACATTCTCTGAAAAGCAGGGCAATGTTGAATGAAAAAACATGGTCCAGTCTTGTCCATTTCTCTCTCTTGTGATCCCTTTAGGAAAATTGCATCATGTCCCAAGATTTAAATATAATCGCTGCAGATTTATCTGTAGCGTGCAGAAGAACCATTTTCCAGACTATGTAGACAAGATACCCAGCCCTTGTGTCCTCAAACCATTTGGGATTTTTCCAGTTAGGTTGTCATTTATGGATCTCTAAATGTTGAGACCTTTTCTTGATTTCTTTTAGGCAGAGAAGTTTTCTCCATCCAATGTAAAACATGCTCTTCCATTTAGAGCCAGAGAATGTTGTTCATATCAGTGCTCCATATCACAATCCGGTCTTTTGCAAGTTTCTCCCCCAGGACATTTCTTTGCTTCTGGTAGTGCATTTCCTGTCCATGACCTTCATCACAGAACCCCCAGCCCTCTTGGCATCCCCAGAGCAGTGGTGGCGAGCTTGCAGCACGTGGGCCACAGCGGGCACGCAGAGCCCTCTCTGTCGGCACGCGAGCCAAGTCTCCCCAGCATCGCCCCAGCAGCGGAGCATCAGATAACGGTGCACACAGGGGCCACGCGCATGCTCGGAAAGGAATAGCGGCGCCAGGCAATGACATCACGAGCCGCAACTCATTAGCCGCGACTCATCCAAGCTTTTTCTTGGCCAGTCAGTGCGCTGCCGAGGATATATATATATTTGCTTGGACTGGCTGTGAGTTGTTTTTTCTAAACTAAAACCTCAGTTTTCAGTTTTTTTTTTGCAGTGTTGGCACTTTGCGATAAGTAAGTGGGTTTTGGGTTGCAGTTTGGACACTCGGTCTCTAAAAGGTTCGCCATCACTGCCCTAGATGGTCCCAGCCCTTCTTCTGAACCCCAGTCACAGATCATTTGGTGGTTTCCAAACTTTTGAGCATTTGATGGTTTCTCCCCATCCTAAAAGCCTGAAATCACCATTCAAGTGCTCAGTGACTGGCAGAAGAACTTTAGGGCCCGATCCTGTCACACTGCCTGTGAGTCCCGAGCATGGAGGCTCCCAGTCATCTGGTGCAAGGCAGAGGAGCAGCAGGAACAGCTTCCCCCCCCCCCCCCCCCCTTGGCTGATTGGGAAACTCAAGGCAGGGATGATGGTGAGGTGCAAGTCGGTCTGTAGCCAAAATGCTTCTAGGAGGAAGAGGGAGAAGGTGTGTGTAGGAGTCCGTCATGCTGCTTGGATGAGCAAAGCAGGGGCACTTTCCCTTGGAACGGTTCTCCCAGCACAGAAAGGAACATTGCAGGCCGGTCGACTCCTCCTGCATGTGACGGTGACCACCCTGCAGCAGAATTCAGCCGCCAGCGGGCTCCCACCCAGGGCCAGACATAGGCTGCATCAGCCACTTGACTTAGCCTTTGCACCGTTGCAGCCATTGCTGCTATTAAGTGTTAGACGTATTCATTCCTCATCACCACAACAAGCACTCTCAAAACAATTTGCACACACAAACACACTGCAATCTATATTTACTATAATGAGGGAAATCAAAAGCAGTACAAACCATAATCAGCACCATGAGAAAAGCAGTAAATAATATCATAACACATCATGCAATGCAGGAATGCTTGTTTACACTGCTCACATCCCGCGAAGCTTAGAATGAGCACCATGCAAGCAACCCACGGCAGGTGGGCCCAAGGCAATTGTCCAGGTGCCTGACAAAATAAGGGCAACAGGTGTCATGTTGGGTCGCACATGGGGAACTATGCAGGTTTTCCTGCACACACACAGCTCCCGGCAGGGCACTTGACCGCACGTCACACCAACATCTGAGAACAAAGCCACTGGGGCGGGAGCCCCTCGCCTGAGCTGGGAGCCTTCTTCTGAGCTGGGGCTGCCACATGAAAACTTTACTGAATGTTTTTGATGCATTCTCAGCACTCACCGCCACTGAAAGCGACGGGACTCTGCTAATGGAGCAGTATGTCCCCTGCCCGGTCTGTTCCACCCCTAAAACGCAAGAAGAAGAAGAGAGCCAGAAGACGGAAGGCATGCAGTATTTCAACATGGAGGACTGCGTCCTGACAGCAACCGAGCTGGACAGCATCCTCTGCGTTCGTCATCCAGAGGTCCCTGTCCCCTTGCAGGAACTCGTCCCCGAACTTTTCATGACGGATTTTCCTGTCAGGTAATACTGGTGTCCCTTTGCTTCCCTCCCTAGACGTCGTGCATTCTTGGGTAGTCTCCGCTTTCTCTTTCTCCAGTTGTTTTACTTGTTTGTTTGTTTATGCATTCATCTGTATGTGGGTTGGGGTGGGTTGTGCGGTTTTGTTCTCACGTCGGGATACATTTCCTTTTCAGGCGCCAAAAAGGAAATGTATCCCAGCCCAAGAGCAAAGAGCAACTGACCAACTGGGATATACGGTCTGGTGGAAATAAGCCACTTTCACAAACCAGAAGGTTTTGTCTGCAAACTAAAACTCAGAATAATCAACTATCTCTTCTAAAAGTGAAAATCAAAAAACAGCATGTGTTAACTGAAGGGCTTCATTACTGAAGATATATGCACATATATTTATCTAAGCTTCCCACACAAATTCACAGCTGTAAAGACTCAGAATCTCCACCTGTTCAGGTTCACACTCATGGACCTTGCCCAACAAAAAATAAAACTGCATGTCAATATTTATTTTTGTATTACTTAATTTATATCCTGCCTTTTTACCTCTGCAAGAAACATAGAAACATAGAAGCAGAGTGAGTCAGAAGGGGTCTCCCGGGCCATCTAGTCTGACCCGCGGCTCCAGCTGGCTCCGCTCACAACATGCCCACCATGTGCATGTCCAGCCTATCTTTGAAGGATCTCATGGTGCTTTGCATCTTATTTCCCTCCATTTCATCCTCACAACAACCCTGTGAGGTAAGTGAGGCTGAGAGTCCGTGACTGGCCCGAAGTCATCCGGTGAGGTCCATGCCTGAGCAGGGATTAGAACGCAAGTTGGGCCAGTCCCTGTCCTGTGTTCTGACTATATATGCAAACAGTGCTAGACTAAAAAGAGCCTTACATTCCTTTGCAAGTTTACATTTCTGGGAAAGGAAAGGCACTCTGGCAGCCCTATAACCAGAGGTTAATCTGTTTATGGATGGGATCACACAGAGAGCTTAAAAACAGACTAATCAGTATGGTAGCTTGGGGGAAAAAAGAGATGGCCAAATAAAAGGGAACTTGAAATATTTATTCTCCTTTCAAAACAGAGAGAAAGAAGGCAAATGTGAAGGGTACTTTGCAGCCCAGCACAATTTGTCTTGTGTTTTTCGGTCCTTCGCAAACATTTAATATTCTATTCTTACAAGAATGTGTCCTGTTTCTTGTTGGTGAAAGCCAAGCTAAATGGTTGGCACTTTCATGTGGCCTCTCTGTGGCTGCGCTGTACCTCTCCAGACTGCTGATGGGAGGAGTTGCTTGCATGTCCCCGTGATGTTAAACGTGTTGAAGGGAGCATGTAGCCAGTGGGACTAGAAGCCACAGGTAGGCTTCACCTGCATGACTCTGCCCGTGCAAAGTGGTGATCATCAACACATCTCATGGAAGTGAATTCCACATCTGATCGAGACACTGTGTGTCAAAGGCCTTCTTCTTATCTCACTGGAATTTCCTGCCAGTCGCCTTCACAGAATCACATGGCTGCAAGGGGCCTGGAAGGCCATCAGGTCAACCCCCTGCTGAATGCAGGACTCAAGTCTCCCATCTGAAGACTAACCAGGCCTCACACTGCTTAGCTTGTGCAATTAGGCAGGACCAGGTAGCTCAGACTCCAGATGTTTCCTTTCCCACATCTCCATACTGTACAATATTTTGTGCACCTTTCTCCCACCTCTAAGCTGCTCATGGGCTTCCTCTGCAAGAAAAGGCCAGGGAGGAACTTTCTGCTTGAAAAGATTGTGTCCGTAGGTACGGAGAATAGCGTTTATGTTTCTCTAATACAAAGAGCAGAAGAGGCACAACCGAGCTAAGAAAGCATCATGGGAGGCTGGTAATCCCGGGCAAAGGCAAACACGAAAGATGTGGGGGCTGATCCAGCTCAGGACAGCTTGAAGTTCTGTCTTGGCAGGACAGCTCGCTCGCTCGCTCTGTTCAGGAAGATGAGGAGGCGCAGGGGGTGATTTTAAAGCAGCCTCCCCTCTGGCTGGGTGTGCAATGCACATCTGGAGGGCCCCAGGGTGGGCAGGTCTGCCTTCAAACCTCTGCGTCCATTTGACAAGCAACAGGAAATGGCTGATGCTGCCCCTTGAACCCAACTCAGGACAGGATATTCAGCTCAATTCTTCTAAATAAGATTTCTCTGCTTCTCTCTCCATCTCTCTTTTGCACACGGGCAGGTTATTTTTAGAAAATAGCAAGTTGGAATACACTGAAAGTGAAAACAATGTTCTCGGCCAAGGAGGAAGTGGGACGGTTATATATCAGGCACAATATCAAGGAAAACCAGTGGCTGTGAAGCAGTTTCGGATTAAAAAATGCAAGAGTTCTGCGACCTCAGCAACAGGTACAATTCTCTCACCTTGGGACCCTGGGCTTTTTCTTCTTCAGGTTGACATGCAAATCACCTTCTCCCTTTTTACATTCTGGCAACACCTGGTTTAAATACAGTGTTTACACCCAAAGCTAATGCATGTGTAGAGGGGGAGGGAGAAATTTGGTGGATTTTAATTAGGCCTTATGGGAATAGGTACTCTGGAATAAACCCCAGCAGGTCTGAACGAGCTTGCTGCAGCATGAAAGACTGAGAAATGCAGGAAAAGGAGATGTGGACCACGGGCTTGGATCTTATTTCAGTTGGCAGAGCTTGGGCCGAGGGTAAACACAACTGGGCACCTGACAAGAGCCCACGCCCGGCAGGGGCCCATTGGCAGAGCAGCTTCTTTTCAGCACTGCAGCCTGCTTTGTTGCCTGCCTCTCTTGTTGGCCCTGGCAACAGGTGATGGTGAGGGGGAGGAAGAACGATGCCACTGGCCACTTGTCCCCTGGATCTCTGCCTGCCAGGCAAGCAAGGGGCAGCACTGAGGAGGAGCAGCAGCAGCAGCAGCCGCCGCTCCACTTTAAAAGAAGCCAAAGCTTAGCTGCCATTTCCACAGCAGTGGAGCATGCAGGGGGTGAAAGAACTTTCAAGCAAGAAGACACTGTCCATTCTTGTAACACCAAGCATGTTGGAATGGTTTTCTCTTGAATGGACAATCAGGGCCCATGTGCTGTGCACAAGATCTTCCCCTGGTGGAGCTGCAAGCTCGCAAAACTAGGTTCTTGCTGCAGGTCCGCACCGCTGCCATGCTTTTCGGATTCTCCTTGGGAGCATGGCCAGCGATTCTCTCGCGATGAACCACCTGTACTCCCAAGTGTACCAGCACATCACTGACATGGCCCCCCACCTCTAAATCTTTGCATGCTGGACGCCACGTCCACGTCGGCATTCGTGTGTGTGGAGTCTAGTGCTGCCAGGTCAGTTTTGCATTTTGAGGGACACGATGAAAGGTTCCGTCCTGCGTGCTTCCATTTTTTACTTACCTGGAGAACCTACATTGCTTCTTCAGCTGGAAAGGACTCCCAGAGCAGCTGACAAAGTCAGGTCTCTGCCTTGAGGCTTCCAGTCTAAGAGGCAACACAGAAGGAAGGGTGCTGGGGAGGAAGAAGGAAAGAATCATCTCAGGCACTAGTTCTTCACACGGACCAGGCAGGTAGAGGATGGGCCAGAATCCATTTGGTCTCTCAGCTGAGCCACTGAGTGGCCCAGCTGTCCTTCTCTTCTTTGCCCTGCTCCTGCCCGGTGTCTTGCCTGCTGCCGGATGGCAGCTGGTGGACGGAGGAGCCCCACGTCACAGCGGCCCTCTTTCCCCTCACACCATTTCCTGCAGGTTGATGCCTTGGTTGCTGCCCCATGACGGGTTGGCCCAGCCGGCAGGAAGATGCAAACATGTGCTCAGCCAAAACATAGAAATATCCTCAAGCAGAGCTTCAGTCTTTCCAGCTTCAACCTCTTCAGGATCTCAACCTTTTATAAGGGGGAAAAACAGCACAAAAGCCAGAAAGCACCACAAGAAGGGTAGCTGAGGGAAGCAAGGTCCCCTGGGAACTCCCAGAAGGGCAGATTTATCCTATGGGCCTGAAGTGGGCCCCTCTACTCTGGATAGTTATCATTGACCTTTTATTGATTTATTTTTATATCCCGAGTTCTTTCCTCTCACAAGGAACCAAGGTCCTTCACCTCAAATTTATCCTCACCACGGCCCGTGAGGTAGATTAGGCTGGGAGAAAGCCGCTGCCCCAAATTCCCCCAGTGAACTTCACGACTGAGTAGCAACTCATCCCAGGCCACTGCGCTCGCCAGCCACTGCACTGGCTCTTGCCCCGGGCATGAGCTTCCCAGAAGCACCTGCTGGGAGCCAGGCGCCTGGCAAGATGGGCTGCTGGGCTGGCCCTGCTGGGATGCGCGTCCGGGGATGTGCGCCGAGTGACGCGAGTGTGCTTCCTGTGCTTAGACACCATGCTGAGGCACCTGCGAGCCATGGATGCCATGAAGACCTTCTCTGAGTTCCGCCAGGAGGCCAGCATGCTGCACTCACTGCGGCACCCGTGTGTCGTCTCTCTGATCGGGATCAGTATCCACCCGCTCTGCTTCGCCTTGGAACTCGCCCCTCTGGGCAGCCTCACCACTGCACTGTCCGAAAGCGCCAAGGGTAGGAAGGCCCAGGCCTGCTTCTCTGCGGTTTCAGGCTGGGACCGCGGTCCTTTGGAGGCGCTCTTGAGGGGAGGAGGAGCCCGCGGTTCAGTGGTTCCCTCTAGGACGTGCCTGCGGGTGGGGATCCATTGGATCCCCAGATGCCAGTCCACTTTACTGCAGGCCGAAGTCCAAGCTCCTGGCAAGCACGCCCCACGTTTGTGGGGTGCTCACCTGGCACGGAGCCCCACGTGCTCCCCAAGCAGCGTCCCTCTTCCAGCCACGTGCAGCCTCCCCAGAGAGGGCCATGGCTAGCAAAGAAGGCTGGCTGCACAAGGCTCACTGGGAGCAGAGCCTGCGCGACCGCTGGCAGCATCGCTCCTCCAAGCCACATGCAGCGGCTCTTTGTCCGCTGTGCCTGACGCAGGAGAAGATGGGTCACGCAGGTCTCATGACTGGTGCGGACGTCCATGCAGGACGAGGCTGCCAGTTGCACAGCTGTGTTCCGTGAGTGTTCCCGGAGTCCCGCTCAGCCCAGCTCACCTCGTGAGACTGGGCTGAGTGAGGAGGAAGCCTGTCAGAGGCAAGGCCTGTCCCAGCCCCTTCCCCGCCCTCTCACTTATGCCGTCCCCCCCCCCTTCCCGCAGGATCGTGCTTTGTGCCTCTTGGGCACATGCTGACCTTCAAAGTGGCCTACCAGATAGCAGCGGGCCTGGCCTACCTCCACAAAAAAAGCATCATTTTCTGTGACCTGAAGTCCGACAACATTCTGGTGTGGTCCTTAGACGCGAGGGAAAGCGTCAATATCAAGCTGTCTGACTACGGGATTTCTCGGCAGTCCTTTCATGAGGGAGCTCTTGGAGTGGAAGGCACCCCTGGGTATCAAGCACCGGAGATACGACCTCGGATCGTCTATGATGAAAAGGTAAGCCCCAAATAACTCCTTCCTGGCAGACATTAGCACCAGATGGCCAGGGAGCCACTGTGATTCAGCCCGTCTTAGGTACACGAATGGAGCCAGGATGGTTCTGAGACAAAAACCCAGGTGTGAAAACCCCATGCAGCACTTCATGCATGGATCCCTAGCAAGTTTGCTTGGAAGGTCTGAGGATGCCTCCTGTGAATTGGACCATCAGTCCAGCTGGCTCTCAGGGATGTCCAGCGGCTCTTTTCTGTGACTGGACCATTTTAAAGCGGAGATGGCCAGAAACACTGTAAGCTCTCCAGAGATTAAAGTTACCTTTAAAGTTACCTGGTTACCGAAAGGAGCGTCTGCATCCATATATGCCCTCCCTCCCCCTGAGATCGGCAGCAGAGGCCCTTCTCCGGGAACCCTCCGTGGAGGATATTGGGAGGGTGAGTACTTGGAGGAGGGCTTTCTCTGCGGTGGTGCCCAACCTATGGAATGCGCTCCCCAGAGAGGTCCACCTGGCGCCGTCGTTATTTGTTTTTCAGCGCCAGGCCAAGACCTTTTTATTTAAATGCTATTTAAATTGTTAAGGTTTCTTTATTGATTTTAAACTGACCAGGCTGTTTCCACTATTTTATGTATTTTATTTATTCTATGTAATTTTTTTGTATTTATATGTGGGATTTTAATGATTGTAAGCCGCCCCGAGGCTTATGTGAAGAGGGTGGCATATAAGCAGTCTAAATAAATAAATAAATAAAGTAATGGATGGCCTACAAATATCCCAAATAAATTAAAAAAATAAATAAAAACATGCAAAACTTCAGCCGCTGAGCCATATCCCTTCCCAAAGGGGGAACACAGCAAAGTTGCTTCATACAGAATCAAACTGTTTGTCTTTCTAGTTTAGATCTGCACATTCTTCCTTGTGACGCCTCTGTCATTAGTGTTGCCATTGCGCTGAATTTGTATCCCAGCATTTTTTCTCTTGCAAGAAACGCAAGGCAGCTTACACAGTCTTCTTCCTCTCCATTTACTCCACACGACCACCCGATGACCTGGGCTTGCCTGCGAGTCTGTGGCTGACTCAGCGTCACCCAGTGGCCAAGTGGTGACTCGAACCTGGGTCTTCCAGGTCCCCAGTCCAACGTCTCAACCACCACACTGACTCTGCCCAGTGTCAGGTAGAGGGCTTGCTGAGCTCTGCTGTTGGGATAATTTTATTTATTCATTTCTATCCTACCATTTTCCTCATCCAAGAAACCTGAAGTGGCTTACATGATCTTGCGTCTCTTCTGTTTATCATCACAACCCCGTAGGGTGGGGTAGGCTGTGAGTCAGTGACTGGCCCAGGATCACCCAGCGGATGGCGTAGCCCAGTAGCAGCTAGCTAGAGCTGGGGTCTCCCAGGCTGCCGTCAGAGCCTGGGAGACCCCAGAGTCGCGGGCACCTGCAGAAAATCTGCTTTGGATCAAGCTGTGGCCTTAGGTTGCAGCTCGGGGATAGAACACCTGCTTTCCATCCCAAAAGTCCCAGGTGCATTCTCCATCTTCTCCAAGTTAGAACAAGGTAGGAACCCTGCTCGAAACTCTGGCGAGCGACTGCTGCCAGTCTGTCGACAAAACCAGGGTGGGTGGACTGTCCAAGGCAGCTTCCCCTGTTGCTGCATTCTGCTCACTCATGATGCATGGATAAACTTGGCAAGTGTTCAAAAACTTGCCACATGCATTTGAACTCATGTTGAATGGGTGATTTATTTGCAGTATTTCTTTCCCGTTCTACATCGAAACAAAACAGTGAACAATATGTCCCAAACTGCCTCCCACAGGCACAATTCAAGTTCAGTCCTGGGGCATTTAGTCTGGAGATCCAAAAATGTTGGGAACAAACATTTACATTTCCAGATGTTGATCTCTCTCTCTCTCTCTCACACACACACACAGAGAGAGAGAGAGAGAGAGAGAATGGGGGTGGAGAATCTATAATTTTGCGCTCTACAAATGCAGAGACCACACATCAGTGTGCCGCAGGTAATGCAACCACTCAGCTGTTAAATCTCAGGATCAAAAGATGTGGGGATCTGGGTGCAATTTGCTTCTACCTTGTGCCAGTTCAGTGATGTTCAAAGAGCTGTGCTGCTTTACTGGCATTAGTCTAAACTGCACAAAATTGGACTTCTGTATCAGCAAAAACTCGGAACTTGTGTGTTGTGTGGAGTTATATAAATTTGTTCAGATTGAGCAAATAATTGTTTAAGACTGCTTGGAAATCACCACTGTGTGTGTTGTGAGCTCTGCGGGAAGCACCTATTTCCGGTCTAGGCTTGATTCAGTCTTAAGTGGGGATAAAATTCACATCTTGCTTGAAAACAGTCCCTAACCGCCCCGCCCCCACCCACCAGTGTCTTTTGAGTCTGCCTTTAAATGTTTTGTTTGTTGGGTTTGGCCATTTGAAACTTTGGAAATAAAAGGAAAGTGACATGGAAACAAAAAGGAGAATGTGTAGCAGAGCAAGAATTTGAGGGGAGTCTGCTTTGTTAATGAGTGTTGAGAGAAACAATGAACAATAACAAATGTAACCACACTACATGCGAGTCAATTGCTGTACAGACTTTCTGATCACTTCAGATTTCTTTTTGGCACTAGAAAGATGATCTGATTATCACTCATCAGCCTAATAGATCATCCCATAAAGTTCCATGTTTCTTAAGAGGTTGTCCTGTATTCTTCTCAGTATTAGCAAAATTAGGAAGTGAATAGCAAATTCTGCTTTTTTATGTTGTTTTAAAGTGTCCATTTCTAATTGCCTTCTTTGTACCAGGTAGGCCTAGTCAATTTCTCCCTTAGTTCTACATCCCAAATTTTCTGTTTCTCCCTGACAAGGGAAAGTTCATTTGCTGATTTTTAGTTAGTAGCTGTGACAACCTGACTTCTGTCTTGAAAAATGTTGAGAACATTTTGCCTTGTTTTGGTGTGAGGACATAGCTGTTCCAGTTCTGCAGATGGTGTTAGTTCTCATCCTGGACTTTTCCAGTGAAAGCAAATACCTGGGTCCCAAACCTTTCTGCTGGCGACAGTCTCACCACATGGACAGGTGGGTGCCTTGAATGCAACCTCTCGGTAACCAGATGTGCTCTGCCCTAGGTGGACATGTTTTCCTATGGCATGGTGCTTTACGAATTGCTGTCTGGGCAGCGGCCAGTGCTGGGGCAGCATCAGCTCCAAATTGCGAAGAAACTTTCCAAGGGGATCCGTCCTGTCCTGGGCCAGCCAGAAGAGGTGCAGTTCCATCGGATGCAGGTGCTGATGATGGAATGTTGGGACACGAAGCCGGAAAAGGTATGTGGGAGCAGAGGAATTGATGCTGGCACCGGGCCCGTTTTTGACCATTTTCGGACTTGAGGAATCCAAACAGCCCGGCTGGAGCTACACAAAAAAGCCGGACTAGTTTGGGGCTGCACAAGATTTGGGGGCTGCAGGTCCATTGGCAGTTTAAGAAACTGTCCTGGATTCCAGCATGAAATGAACCTGCTGGGGGTGGAAGTGTTGGCCTGCAGCTGCCCACCCTTTTCATTCTCCTAGAAATGCTTCTGAGCCCAGCGTTTCACTGGGAGGCATTCTTAGGGAAAGGAGGCGGGAGCAGGTGGAGGCCCTTCTTTTGCTCTGAGGTGATCCCAGCTGCCAGTACTTTGTTGTTGTTGTTGCTATTTTATTTATTACCTTGACATCACGCCATTTCTACAACAAGGAACTTAGGACAGCTTGCTTAATCCCACCCCCTTCTCCATTTATCCTCCCAACAGCCCTGTGGAGTAGGCTGATCTCAGAGTCAGTGACTGGCCCAAAGCCACTGCGTGAGTCTCGTGGCTAAGCAGGGACTAGAACCCAGATTCCCCGAGTCCCGGGCCAGCGCTCCAGCCATCATGTCCCTGTGGCTCTGCTTTGTTAGCTAAAGGAACTGAGAAATGTAGGCGGGGAGGACACCGTAGTGACTGCCTGGGTGCAGCATGCGGTCCTCGTGGCCTAGCCCACCGACACAAACAATGCCTGCACGGTTCAGCCCACAGCATGGACTGTCCTGGACGAAGCCTTTGGGAGAACATCCAGCAGTCTGGAGTTGTGGCGGGGGCAGAATTGCTCAGGCACTGGGAAGCCACCCTGCAGTCAGCAACTCACAAGGGAGGCGGGAGCAGAGGAGGGGGTGGGGCCACCTGGAGACCACCGAACTGAGCGAGGCTTCCCACCCCTGCAGTGAGGGCCAGTGTGGTGTCGTGGGTAGTGGGCTGGAAAGGGGACTCAGACCACCCGGGTTCGAGTCCCCGCTCAGCCACGGAGCCCACTGGGTGACTCTGGGCCAGTCACGGACTCCTAGCCCAGCCTGCCTCACAGGGCTGTTGTTGTGGGGATAAGATGGAGGCAAGCCCCTTTGAGTTTGCTGTTCCTTGCCAGTTGGGTGCAAATAGAGATCCTGATCGGGGGGTTGTTAGCTACATCTACGCTGCTCCTGTTTCATTTCCTCCAACGAATTTGGGACGGCTCACATGCCTTTTCTTTCTCCCAGTCCCCACTTGTTTTAGCTTCACAATCACACGGTAAGGTAGGGCAGGTTGCGAGAGGGTAACAGGTTCCAGGAAGCAGCTTCGTCCTGAGCCAGGCTCTTGGCCCACCTTTCCCAGGACAGTCAGGTCTGGCCGGCTGCCATTCTCCAGGGTTTCAGGCAGGAATTCTTCCAGCCCCACCTGGAGATGTCAGAGATAGAAGAACTGTGTGCAAGGCCATGTGCCCTATGCGCACAGCTGTGGCCTTTCCCTGCATGCATGCAGAGTCCCTGATGCACACCTGGCCCTCCTGTTCTTCTCAGTGAAAGAGACTATTGTGTGCATGCAAACGGCAGTCCCTGCCTGCAGCCTGCACTGCCCTGTTCGTTTCCTTGCTGGAGTAGAGGGTGCTTCACAGGCAAAAGGTGACCTGCAGTGTGTCCTCGCTCTCTCTCTCTCTCCCTCGCTCTCTCTCTCCCTCGCTCTCTCTCTCTCTCTCACACACACACACAATGTCCTGCACCAAGAAAGCCTACATGTGCACGAATGGCCCCCAGAGCTCAGGGAGAGGGGGACGCCGTGCCTCACTGAGTCTCTCCTCTCTTCCACCCAGCGCCCCTTGGCCACCGCAGTGGTCGGACGGATGAAAGACCCAAGCTTTGCTACGTTCATGTACCTGCTGCCATGCGGAAGACAGTCATCCTTCTTCTGTTCCCAGGGGCAAGAATACACAGTAGTATTCTGGGATGGAAAGGAAGACACCAGGTTTGTGTTTTGCTTCAGTGCAGTGCTTGAGTCTCCTTTGCAGTAAATGAAGCAGTTGCTCAGCACACCTTTAGCTGCATTGCTGCTACGTGCATCTCCATCTCTGTTAGGTTCAGACAGAATGATTTCTCTTACAGTTGTTCACATCACAAATCCTGTGATGTACGTTGCTGGCCGTTCTCATTTTACCGACAGAAAACTAGAACTGAAAGAGACGAATTGAAGATAATGAAGCACAACCCGGTACCCTCCAGAAGTGTTGGACTACAGCCCCCATCATGCAGTAGTCCAGCTTGGAGGACACCAGGCTGGGGAGGGTTCCTGTGGGTTGCACCAGAATGAGAAGGGTCCATTGACGGAGCAAAATGGTCACCTGGACCATCACCGTGATTGGATCGCCATCATTTTAATTGCTGCGCCTGCCACTATTTGCCGAGCCCTTGGCAATTCCATGTCCTGAATTAGGATTGGGTTGAGCGGAGAGTGGAACACCTCGCCTGAGCCCTGCTGGGAAAGCGCAGAGCCTCCGGGGGGCACATCGCAAATGCTCCTAGGACCCATCTGATGAGATGGATGCACGGCGGTAACAGATCATGCCGCAGTTACAGATCGGGTGGTGTGACCAGGTCGAGGGTGGCTGGTGGCTCCTTTGCCCATTAAGTTTTCTTTTTTCCAAAAATTCCCCCACCAGTGGATAGGTAACTGGTTTGTGGTGAGGGCGGGGGCTTAACACCTGGCAACAACAACAACCCCTGAAAAAGCTGTTTTCATCGGTAACGCTCGGTACTGCAGTTGGCAAAGCTGTCTAGCGTTTAGTGCTAAGTTTATGAATGCTCTGTGCTCTTCCCTTCAAGCACAAACAGTATTCTGTTGTGATTCATGGCAAAACAAATCGCAGTATTGTACTGTGATTCCATCTCTCCTTGGAAAGGCACTCCAGAGTGCTGGTTTTAAGGAAAAGTTCTAGCCACATTCATTTCCAATTACTGTGATGGCTTCTTAAGCGAACAAATGCAACACTTGATGTGTCAGTGTGTGCAGCAGCAAGTTTGGGGTGATGTGGGGGGGCACCATGCCGATGTGGCGTGCATGCATCTGGCATTGCGGCTTCTCCAGCCCCTGGGAGCCCGTCCGCTTGGAGGGTTTCGCCGAGAGAGCCAAGTTTACATTTTCACTGCTCACAGCAGAGCGAAACCGCCCAGTGGGGAAGAAGAGAATTAAAACCAGGATTGGAAAATGGAAAAAAATGTTGGATCCTCTGGCACAAGAGCTGCTCTTTGAACAAAAAAAAAAAAAAGGTTCTGGGAAGTTGGCTTCTCCAGCCAAGCCCCCCAGTCTCCCTTGTGCTGACTAGCCTGGAAGTTTGGCAGAAGTACGTAGTGAAATGTGCTTCAATTTAATGTAATTTAATTAATTGCATTTATATCCCACTGTTCCTCCAAGGAGCTCAGGTTGGCAGACAGTTTTTCCCTGCCTCTCTTATACAAAGGAGATTCCTTGGAAGTAGATTAAGCCAAGAGAGAGCTGGGCTGGAGGCTGGATTTCATGGCTCACCAAAGGCACCTGAGCAAGCTTAGCAGGCATGGATTAAGAAGAGCAGCTCTTTTGGATCACTAGCTGGTTGAGGAACAAAGAGTGGAGAGGAGGAATAAAGGGTGGTTCTCCCAGTTCAGAGATGTAAACCGAGGGGCCCCGCAGGGATCTCTGTGGGGCCCGGTGCTTCCCAATTTCCTCATGCATCGCCCTGGAATAAGCAGCGCAGTGGCTGGGAACACACATTCTCTGGGGTGGATAAAACCAAAACGGGATTGTGACTTGCCCTGGAAGGATGGTGGAAAGGGCACCAAAATGGCAAATGCGCTTCAGTGGCAGCAGGGTGCAGTGAAGCACGCTGGGGCAGAAACCCAGAGCTGGTCAGTTACTTGGCACTTTTGCATACCATCTTGTAGCCACATGACTCTAGTCAGTTTTTGTAATGAAGCTACAGGTATGGGGGGGGGGGCGTGAATTAGCAATGACTGCCCCAGAAAGAGATCTTGAGGTTGTGGTACTCAGCACAGAGGAAGCAAACCAGCCCTTGGCTGCTATGAAAGCAACAGAGCTTAGACACAATTAGGAAAGAAACTGAAAATAAGCTGCCAGGATCACACTCCCCGTGTAGAAATCTAAGGTACAACCACACTGGGAATATTGTACACAGTTCTGCTCATGGCATCTAAAAGGGGATATTAAAGGGTTGGGAAGAGTGCAGAAAAATGTCGTTAAAATGATCACAGAGCTGGAGCAACTCCCCTGCGAGGCACAGTTACAGCAGCTGAGCTTACCTAGCTCAGGAAAAAGACAAGGAAAGGGAGCCATGATAGAGATGGGCAGAATTATTCATGCTGTAGAGAGAATGGAGGGGAGACATTTCTCTCTCTCTCTCCTGTATCACCCAGTGGGATCATTCCACAAAGCTCATTAGTGAGAGGTTCAGGACACATCAAAGGAAGGGCCTCTCTCCATAGTTAAACCATGAAACTCCCGTCCACAAGATGTAGCGATCACCACCAATTTGGGTGGCTTTAAAAGGAAAATGGGAGAGGAGGAGGCTCTCAGTGGCTATTCCTCCATGCTTATATATACCAGTGTCCAGGGGACATGAGCTATTGCACTTCCGTCTTACCTGTGGGTTTCTTGTGGACCTCTGGTTGGCTTCAGTGTGCACAGATGCTGGAGCAGGTAGATCCTGGGTCTGATCTTACATGGTATCCTTAGAGGAGTCAAGATCAGCACCTGGCTCTTCCTGGTCAAGTCTAAAAGCGCACCAGACAGACTGCAGCAGCTTTCCCCACCCCGCTGCCCTCCAGATGCATGGGACTGCAACTCCTATTATTCTCAACTCACATGTCCAGCCTGAATGAGAATACTGGGAACTGCAGTCCAACATACCTGGGAACAGCAGACTGAAGAAAACTGGGCTGCAGCTTTCTTCATCTTGGAGAATTTTGCCTACCTTGCAAACCAAGGGAATTAGACCTTTATGGGAAGGTGATTGATGGCTATAACTTGTTGATACCCAATGACATCCCAAACCATAAACAGATGGGATTTATCTCCAGCAACCTTGTTAATGTCAGTTTAGTGCTGCTGCCACTATTAGAATGAGTTCTATTTACTGATTTCAGAAACTACACAGTAGTGAATACAGAGAAAGGTCTCCTAGAAGTTGCCAAGATGAGCTGCCCAGGAATGAAGCTCTGTTGCCAGCTGAAAGTTCAAAGTTCTCTCTGGACTGCCACAGAGGTATTTCTTCTTCCAAGAGTTCCTGTATTACAAGGAGGACGTCTCTTCTCATTGCATGTTCTGGCACCCAGTCTGTTGATGGACGCACGCTGTGATGCCGGGCTGCTAACCGGCAGGATTAATTAGCAGGGCCACAAATCCTTCAGATGGGCCGCTGGACATCTCAGGTGGCTTTTCACCCAGCATGTTGGTCTCCCTTCATGCCCTTGCAGTTTCCAGGAATTGTCAGAATTGGGTTGGAGCTGTTTCTGGGGGCCTCTAAACAGGGCTTGTATGGTGCAACGGCCCTGCCTCATTCACAGACTTTTATGGGAGCCCTCTTCTACTTGTAACCCTCTCTTGTTTTCCCACCATGACTTCTGTCTTTGTTCACCACACAGAACATCCATTCTGGAGGAAAAGGTGTAAGAGATACACAATGCCTTTTAAGTGGGATCCTGCAAATAAGATACAGAGTGATCTTGATAGGTTAGAATGCTGGGCAGAGAGCAACAGAATGAAAATCAATAGGGACAAATGCCAAGTCCTCCTTTTAGGAAAAAGAAACCAAATGAATCACTACAAAATGGAGAACACTTGGCTCAACGATGCTGCAAATGAGAAGGATCTTGGGGTTCTTGTAGATCACAAGCTAAATATGAGCCAACAATGTGATGCAGCTGCAAAAAAAAGGTCAAACGCTATTTTGGACTGCATTAACAGAACTGTCACTTCCAAAATGTGTGAAGTACTAATTTCAGTATACTCAGCACTAGTCAGACCTCAGCTAGTGTACTGTGTCCAGTTCTGAGCACCTAAGTTTTAAAAAGACACAGAATAGCTGGAAAAGATTCAGAGGACCAGAGGAAAAGCCCTATGAGGAAAGATTGAGAGAACTGGGCATGTTCAATCTCAAGAAGAGAAGTCCGAGGGGTGATAGGATAGGCACCCCTCTAAAAGTGCCTGAAATGCTGTCACAAAGAGGATGGGCAAGATCTCTTCTTGTCCATTTCAGAGTGCAGGACATGGAATGGCTGACTTGAGTTAAAAGAAACCAGATTTAGACTAGCTTCCAGGAAGAGTGTCCTCACTGTCAGAGCAGTGCAACATGGAGCCTATTACCTGGGGAAGTTGTGGGTCCTCCTTTGCTAGGGACATTCGGAAAGTGGGATGGTGTAGCTTACTGTCCTGCAACAGCAGGGGGTTGGACCCGAAGGCCTTCCGGCCCCTTCCAACTCTACTATTCTATGGTTCTATGAACGTTGTTACATCTGATTGGTATTGCTAGCTTATGAAGCTGGCCCATAGGAAGCTCTGGCATATTAAGTTATCTTTCTCCTGTGTGTTCCTGCCCGCATGCTAAGATCAACCTTGGGGGCCCATCTCCAGGCATCACCACCCACGGTCATGCAGAGGAGGTCTTGCAAGGAAAGAGCCTTCTTCATCCACAAAATGCCCTTCCTGGGGAGAACTGTCTGTTGTCTTCCCTGTATACAATGAGACACCAGCTAAGACCTTCCTCTTCCAACAAGCATTTAATATTTAATCCGTTGCTGCTGTGATTAATTTTGCTGCTGTCTCAATGCTTTTAATAATTTGTAATGTTTAATATCGTATTACTTGGGTTCAATCATTGTAGACCACTCTGAGGGCATTTGCCAGTTAGGAATTATATAAATCTAATAAATAAAAAATTAAGTCTATGAGGATTCATCAGTCTAAGTGCTTCAAGGGTAGATGATGGAACTTTTAAAGGATAATTTCCCCAAAAATTGCTCCATGGGGATTTGAGAAATGAGGAAACAAGAGGCTTTGCGTTCAACTCTTTCCTGGCTTTGTGTTCTCCATTTTCTTGCAATGTGCTTTCCTCAATTCCTATACTGTGGAAAGAAATCTTATGAACATTATTACTGAAATAGGTTTCTTTTCTTTTGCTCTCACATAGGACCAGAAGATTTATGTGTACAGTTTACAAGGCATGTGTCCCCTGAAGGTTCCACTAAAGGGTGTAGACACTCCATCCATTGTGACCTGTTTCCTTGCTGTACCTGTTGTGAAAAAGGTAAAGCAGAGTTGATATCACAATAAAGCATTTTTTACTTTTGAACGTTCAGAAAAAGAAGCTGAAATGCTCTGCTCTTGTTGTTTAGCTTTAAAAGCAGGAAGTTGCTCGGATTTGTTAGACATAGCATGGATGCTGTTAATTTAATAACCGAAATTACAGTCCCACCTCCTGGCCGTTCAAGGAAGAACCATGCCATGAACATCAATGTATTGTTGTCCATTTAACTGTAATCTGTTTTGGTCAGGAAAAGCACTCGGTACTGTACGAGACGTTGTGGAGGAGATGCAGATGCTGTTACAGAGTTTTTAATCACTACTGAAACATTTTAGGGTGGAAAGAGCTGGAGAGGCATTGCAATAAAAATCCCTTCGTTGTATTTCGGTAGTGTAGAAATGAAATGAGAAAACCACAGCCTTGGGTCCCCATGCCATGAGGCGTCCCTCTTTCCCCAGTACTCTGTGCTTGGTTCATGTCGTTACATCAGGAAGCAACTAAGTTCTTTCCATATTGGTCACTTTAGTAATCCAATCAGTATTTTCAATCAGTTTGAAAAGTTCAATAAATGAGATCCAAGTGAGAGGAAAAAAGCCATCTTATTTTCAGTGGCTGATAATTCTCCTCTTCCTCTGGAGTTATTCTTTGAAGCAGCTTTAGAACAAAATCCTCATTTCTTTCTTATGTTAAACTTACTGGGGGCTGGCAAAATTGGATCAGTTGGCATTTGCTAGGAATGCAGTGGCTGTTCAGAATGCCTAATAACCAAAGCTTGTTCAAGACCAGTATTTATTTTCTTAAAGGGACCATTCAAAGGTGGGTGGGATATGTGGGATGCAAAGGTTTTTTTCCCCCATGGAACATCCAAGATCTAAGGATTTCATAAGGATGTTTATGGATAGAGCTACATTCATTTTTGTTTTCATAATCCACATTTACCATAGTCTATGAATCCAAATTAAGCCTTTGTTCCTGTTCCTTTTAGCTTCTCTTTGAAAACTCTGCCTGCTTCTTTCCTAGGAAGACCTGTGTCCTGCTTGCCTCTTTCTACTGATAAACAGTAAGGGCTGTGTCAGGTGTGGTGGCCTGGAGAAGCAAGTTAGGTCAATAGAGAAGGCCATGCTGTATGGCATGGGTGAGCCAAGGGCTTCATTCAGAGGCAGAGAAGTTCATGAGGAGCTGCCTTCCAGCTGTGGGCCAGCTTGTTGTACATTAAAGCCCTCCCTGCTGGCAACAGAGCCTTCAAGAGAAGCATTTCAGCTTCCTAGAATGGGGGGAAATACACAAAAGCGGATAAACCACCACACACTGTGTGGTTAGGAGAAAGGGGCTTGGCCAGAGGAAAGGAAACCAGAAGGCCAGATTGAAACCCCAGGACTGCTAGAGTGGGACTTGCTACCTGCTCCACGGAGTTTATGATACACAGGTACATGAGAAGCTGCCCTGGTCCACTGAGCCCAGGGCTGTCAACACTGACTGGCAGCAGCTCCCCAGGGTTCCTCCCTGCCAAGGGTTTTTCCAGTCCTGACTGGAGATGCCACAGATGGTGCCTCGGGCCTGTTGCACACCAAGCATGATGGTAACCAGAGCAAATGGAGTTATTTTGCAAGATGGAAACCTGGGGGCGGAGGGAGCGTGTCCACACTTCTTATTAGAGCTGCAGGAAGCACCCTGTTCAACTCTGATGGGCTGGAGCAGCCACCCTATGCTATCTGTGTCTCTGTGTGAGAATTCAAGCTGGCTGAAAGATGCATTGCCCCTGTTTAATGCTCTTTTCCCTTTAGAACTCCTATGTGGTCCTGGCCGGCCTTTCCGACGGACTCATCGCTGTTTTTCAAGTGTCGCGGGGTGTTCCCGAGGACAGCTGTTCCTACTTGTGCTCCCACACTGCCAATCGCACCATGTTCAAGATCAGCGATGACGATCCCCGTCAGAACCCGTACCCCGTCAAGGCCATGGAGATGGCAAACAATGGGACTGAGGTCTGGTACAGCAATGGCCCCGGCATCCTCATTGTGGACTGTGCAGCCTTGACTGTCACTCGGAGACTGGAGCCCTACAGCCCGCCCTCCACCGTTGTGTCCATCGCGTGCAGCTCAGACTGCAACGGGGAGGAGGTGGCCTGGTGCCTGGATGATACGGCCAACTTCCTGGTCATGTATTACACCGCCTCCTACCAGCTCTGTGCGCGCTACTTCTGTGGGGACCACAGCCCCTTGAGGGACATGTTCACCATCCAGCAGCCCTTCTCCTTGGTTCCCACCACACTGGCCACGGACCCAGCCACAACTCCCAAAAGCAGCTCCTTGAGAAACGTGAGCATCATGTGCAGTCAAGAGCTCGGCATTCAGATCCTGAATTATCAGGACTCCCTGACGGACTACTGTTCCGTGTCATCGTGTTACTCCTCCTCGTCTCCCAACAGGCGGATGAGGTCCTCCTCAAGCCTGCCCAGCACCCCACTGAGCGCCTCTAGTGCACCTTTCTCGACAGATTGCGAGGAGCCCGACAAGCTTCAGGACCTGAGCTTTCTCGTGGAGGGACAGGAAAATGATCCCATGGACAACCCTTGTGCTCTCCAGGCCATGAAGATCCTCCCAGTCAAAGACCTCCTGTGGATTCCCAGGTAAATCGCACTGGGAGCCAGTTGAGGTAGCCCGAATATGGGTGGAATGTCTGCCTTTCCTAGGTGAAGACTGGGATGCAGTGGTCTGCGAAGCGCAGGATCCCGTCCGGAAACTCCCATGAGCCAAAGGAGTGCACTGACAGGGCGAGACAAGAGCCACCCTGGTCCGATGGTAGTGTGCGAGGAACACACAATTCCTGCAGGGGGAGGGCTCTGTCAGTGGCTGCGGATGTTGAAGGCCCCCCCCCCCCCAGAGGGGCTAGTCATGGAAGACTACTCATAGGGAACACAAGTTGGAGCCTTGGTAGGACTCCCAGTTTGAGTGCATAAGGTCCCCGGTTCAATTCCCAGCATCTCCAAATGGGGCTGGAAAAATTCCTGCCTGAACCCCAGACTTGCTGTTGCTGCCAGCCAGTGTCAGCACTGCTGGGCTAGATGGCCATGGTCTCACCTTGTGTTGCTGTGAGGGTGGCTTTGCACTCATGCCCTGCTTGTGGGCTTCCTACTGGCATCTGGGTGGCTCCGGTGCCCTCCAGTTGTACCTGCCCCTCCCGAGTTGTGCTACTCCACAGGGAATGCCGGCCTCGGAACGTGGGAGCTTGGCGTGGCTGGACCATCCCCAGCCCATGTGACTTTGGACTCCTGTACCCCTGCTGCTCCGCAGAGAAGCGCTTCACCTGTGGCTTGAACGGCCAGAGGCTTCCCGGTATCCCAAGCACGTCTTCATCTCCCAGACTTTTGAACCAGGCCATCCCATGCCTTGTGCTGAGCTGCCCTGACTGTGGGCATATTTCTGGAGCTAGCAGGTTCTGCATGAATATCTGGAGCAAGTATTGCTTTCTCAGTCAGGCTCATAGAAAGAGAGGAGACGTCATCTTAAGAGCCTCAACTGGAGGGCTAAATTGCAGCCATCAGGCCTGCCACCCCACTAGTTCCAGTCTCCGCGCTCCTTTACAAGTGGCATTGAGCAGCTGTATGGCCTTTCCTCTGAAGTGCTCTCCAGAAGCCTGAACCCGTTTCCTTGGTGAAGCAGCTCATAACAGAAATTCTGCTTTCCCTTTCCAGGCGAGGTGGAGATATCATTGTGATTGGCTTGGAGAAAGAAGCCCTCTCTCAGCGAGGGAGAGTGATCGCAGTACTGAAGGCTGCAGAGCTGGCCCCCTATGGGTAAGGACACACTGGGGGGTGTAGGGGGAGGTGTGGCAGAGCGATTCAAGAAGGATCCCATGACCTGGTGGAAGGGCAAGGGCCTGCACGCACTTGCTTACTCCTGGCAGCTCCAGTCCTAACCGGGCTCTGTAGGCAAGATGCCTCAAGAATTTGCATAGGCAGATCTCTTCCTTGAACACACTCAGGCAAGATGGAGGCCAGCACAACTGTGTGCGATGCGATGCAAGCCTGCGAGCCTCCCCTTTCCCAGCACAAAACCTCTCCTTCGTGCAGGTGAAACAAGAGGCAGACCCACACAGTGGCTGCGTGCTGTTTGAAAACAGAAGGGCTGAAATGGCAAGCGGTGAAAGGAAGCATGTGAGCACGACATTTTCTGGCCCCAGAACTCTGGTAGCTGGATAAGTCACACAAATTGAGCAGGTGTGATGTTACCTTTCTTTTTCGCACAGTAGGTTTTGCAATTGTTATTTTTAGCTTTTTTATATTCCACCTTTTTCATCTTGCAAGGCATTCAAGGCCGCTCACATGGTGCTCTTCTCCATTTTGTCCCCCCAACAACCTAGTGAAATCAGAAAGGCTGAGAGTCGATGGCTGGCCCAGAAGCCCCTAGCTGTGGCCAAGTGAGGGCCAGCACCCAAATTTCCTGAGTCCGGATCCAGTCCTCCAGCCAGTACACTGCACTGGCTCTGTGGCTGGTAAATTGTTCTAAATTAGTCACAAAAAGGGGCCAAGTGAAACCATACCAAGAGGTGAAGTACCACTGACACCCTCAGCCCCTGCAGTAGAAGAAGTAGAACCTGATGCTTAAAACCAAAACCAAGCCAAGCATCTCTCCACTGTGCACAAAGGAGCTCCTTTTCTCACTTCCAGATCTCCTTCTTAAACTTGGTTGCTGTCATTCTAGGTCCCTGGTGGATGCTGCCATTGTGGCCAAGGACACTGTTGTGTGTTGCTTCAGGAATGAGGCAATGGAGTGCTGCTTGGCTGTCTGGAGGAGCTGGGGGGCAAAAGACTTTGATCTTTTCTACCACTCCTATGAAGAACTGGGGAGGCTTGAAACTTTCATGCGGAAGAGAAGGTAGTGCTTGTGGAACAGAAACCAAGACTGGGACGGAGTGTCACGAACTGAAAACTGACATAGTTTCACTTCCCCCGAAGGGCCCTGTTGGAGTCTTTACACATTCGGGATGTTGACTCCTCTGTTTTGCTGCTAAAAAACAACCTAGGTGGGTCATTGTCTTTAATGCATTTGAATTCCCTCTTCTAGTCGCTCTCACAGTCCACAGAAGAGCATTTTCCTCAATTCTAATCCCTTGAATGTGCAGATTTGGCCAGCGTTTCTGCAAGATCCACATCCTGCTGTTTTGTTTTGCAGCATGTTGCTAACTCGGCAGTTAGCAAGCTCTGTCTTCCTTCATAGAGAATAGCCCAAATGTGGCACCTTGGCTTTCATTTTAGTAATAGTTTTCCATCACAATAAGGCACCCTATTCAGGCATCAGAGTTTCTGTGTAACATTCTGGAAAGGTGGAAGAGTCAGGCTTATATGGTTCCGATGGCTCTGAGACAGATGAAACACATCTGCAAGAGCTTTGCTCTTGTCTACACTCAGCAAAGGCTGTGGTTGCCTGGTGCACTGCCTTTGCTCCAACAGTGACTTGAGCAAAGAGTCACTTGCAAAGAGAGAGATTGCCAAGTCCTATGGAGTCGGCATGGGACTCAGAAGACCCTGAACCTCTTGAAACTTCGTTGCCTCTGCAGGTTGATGTTTTCCTTCTTGTGTTAGGAGCTGGGAATCTGCAGTGAGGATACACACTGGTTATCCTTTGCTGCTCCAGAATGAAGGACACGAGCAAACAAAATGGTAGGCTAATAGATGCCATCTTTACTGGCTTCTTGTGGTTCCCTGTCCATGCCGTGAGCTATTTGTGTGGGGCAAGTGCCAGACAAGAAAAGGGATTGCACTGCAGAGCCTTTGCAAAAGTGGAATCACGTAAGCAGAAGGAAAAAAAGAAGTTACATTCATGGTTTTCTCATGAGATGGACAATGGGAAAGACACCTTCTAAGGTACTTTTAAAAAATGGAATTAGTGAGGAAAATGCATCTTGTGCTAATTGTGTCTCATCAGAGCGTTATTATATATTCGTCTGTTGTGTGTCTGCCGCTGCGATATTTGCTGTTCGCCTCTTCTTGCCTGAGCAAAGAACGAGGAGTTGGCTAGCAGGGAAAAGTGCTTCCAAGAAGAAAAAAAAGGCAAGAGCATGGATCCCACAGCCTTCCATACCTGGCTCGAGCGGTTTGAATTGTCGCCTGATACTACTGCAGTATCAGGTGATAATATACGACTGGCAGCATCCAGAACAAAATCTGGCTGAAGATGCTGCAGAGAAAAGGAGGGCAGGCTGATTTCCGCCTTTGAAATGATACAGGGCAAACGCCGACACACTCAGGACATTTCTCTGGTAATTCCCTTCCCACGGATCCCAGTAATTTATTTAACTTGCTCCCTAGCCTGTCATTCTTCTTTCCCCACCCAACAACTGGACACAGGGTGTAGTGAAGCCTGGGTTCAGAGGTGGAAGTATGGAGGCCGCCTCCCCGAATTGCAGTGCAGGCCTCTCCATATCTGTGGAGAAATGGAGTTTCCCAGCACAAATGTACTGCTGAGCGCAAACCCTGTTGCAGTGCGAAGCATTTTGCGGGTGCCCCACTCTCGAACGGACAGGTCAGACCTATTGGCTTTGCACGAGATCTGCTCCTGGTGGGCAAGAGAACTGCTAAAGCTGGTTTGTTGCCACAAGTCAACACTCCCTCTGTATTTCTGGACTCTCCTTGGGAAGGAGACTATGGGGGACTATCAGGATGAGCCCTACACTTCCGAATTGACCACAGCTCTCTCTCCTACCAACTGCCAGTGATGGAGAAGCACTCGCAATGCCATTAGAGCATGAAACAAGTTCTAATACAAGCAAGAGTTTGATAGGCTGGGGAAGTGCTGCTCTCCTTTCATGGTCCCCACCCCACCCCACCACTGGTGCTTGCAGTGCAAGCCTCACCCCCACCCCCAGGCCCCTTCCCTCAACTGACGAATAGAGGAGTTTGGTGACCCTGTATGTAAAAGCTGATTGCTATTTTTATGCGAACCTCTGAAGAGCTTTTGGCAACTAATTAAAAAATAAACTGTTACTGCATGTGTGTACAGAGGAATGCTTTCAATGAGGCCTAACAACAAAACAAGTTTCTGTAATCACCAGCTGACAGGAAAGCTTGCTGCAAGTCAGAACTGCCCATGGTTGGTATTCACTGGGGCCTTTGCCGCAGGGCTGAGACGCCAAGAGCCAGTGACCTTATTCCAATGCAAAATCTCTCTCAAAATAGACAGGCTCTCCCAAGGATTAGGAGGTATTGCTGTCGCTCCTAATTGGCGGCTGATGGCAGCAGCCACTCCAAGGTGTCATGGCACCTTTCAGTTCAGTTCAGAGGTGGCCATAGCAGGTGGAAATAAGTTTTATCCACAGGCCGTTGGCTTCGATCACACTGTTCTTGCCCCTTCGTTGAGTTTCTCACATGCATCTGTGCGCATGTATCACTGTAAGCTTTGAGTGCTTAATTGGTATAAGAAGCTGCAAAAATTCTATGTAGCCTTCTTGTAGGAATACTTACTTAAGACTGCAGGATAAATATGCAAAGGATTGCATGATAAATCTACCAAGGTTGCTGCTGCTTTATCAATCGGAGACTCATTTGGCTTTCTGTAATACACCAAACCAGGAATGCAAAGCGGGGGGAACCCTCTGGATCGTTCTAACGATGCCTAGTAGCTTTTGTTTACTGCACGGTATGTTACTGTACAGTTTCATCCAATGTCTACAAAAACAATTTGTGCTAAAGGTTTGAGTCATATATATGTTACAGATAAAAGGCTGTGTAAAAAGACAGAAAAACTCAACTACAGTAGTTTTTGTGAAATCCGAACTGCATGTTTTAGAAAGCAAGCCCCATTGAGTTCAGTGGGACTTAATTCTTCGTAAATGGGATTGGAATTTTACTATTAGTTAATAGTTCATCTGTTTATACATATCACACAGTGGCTCACTTCACCTGCGTCGAAGCAAGTGCATTGGTGCATGTTGTTACTTGCTTCCGCATTGCTCATCCTGCCACTCACTGAGAAGCTAAACAAGCTGGGGAAACGCTATCCGTGTCTTGTTTCATGTGCCACCCAGACAGTACCCGTGGTTGCTTTTCTAACAAGCCACCCTCATCAGCCAATAACAAATCCTGGCTTGTTCTGAGAGTAGCAAACCAGGGCTTCTGCTTTTGAACATGGCCCTAAACATGGGCAGAGGTTTCCTGGTTTGTTCAGCTTCGGGTAGGCAGCTCCTGGGGCACTGCCCCGAGCACCACCACAAAATGACTACCACTAGAGTGGTGGCAGAGGACAAGTAATCTGTCCTAAGGCCGAGGACAAAGCAGAGCTGCCTCTGAGCCCCAATGGACGAGCTGTCTCCTTTGGATGCAGTTTTCAGCATCAACAGAAATGCATTGCACAGCAGCCCTAACTGCTGGTATGACTCTTTTGCCTTACATTTGAGGACAAGGATGTATGGTTGAATGCCTGAGGCCACGCTGGTTGCTAGCAAGCCCTACGTTGCCTATCCCGGCTATAGTTGCGCCTGCTGCAGGAAGAGCCCAGTGGAAACAGAGACGCCCCCGTGTTCCTGATAAGCTGAATGCTGCAGAACCCCAGCCTGGCACTACTGGCAAGCTGGCCCTGGTGTACAATACAACATGTGCTTGCTCAGTAGTGAGTGCAAACACAGACTTGTGTGTGTACAGATTCTTCCTATTTGCCCTGGCATTTTAGGAGGAATTTTGTTTTGTTTATTTTAATTCTACGGCATTTCAGTTTTACATAAAAACCCAGTATAGGAATTAATTTACCGCAGTGCTTTTAAAAAAAAACCTGGAAAATCAATATGGTACTGATTAGTTTGCTGGCCTGGAGAGATCTGAGTTCTAGTCCCCACTCAGGTGTGAAACTAATTGGATGCCTTTGCACCAGTGACCTCCTGTCCTACCTCATAGGGTTGTTGTAAGAATAAAGAGGGGAGGAGATCCCTGCCCATCCTGTTGCTTGATGGGCAAGGAGCAAAGGAAACTTTGCGCATTGTGGAGTACTTGTGAGGAGCTTGTGCTTTAAGGGACGCTCTAGTTCACAACGGCTGTTACTGCAACCTGTTCCCCAAGCACCTGGGAAACGCACCCAGCTTTATTTTTCAGTCTCCTACTGCAGGGACAAGATATTTCATGCTGCACTGGATCCAGATCTAGGCATGCTTAGAGCAGACCCAGGAAAGCCATGCCTAACTGAACTTCTCTGCTCCCAGTGGGTCTATGCTTAAGCATGACTTCAGCTGGATCCAGTCCATTGCCTTTCAGGGAAGCTTGGCTGCTGCCATGATCCTCTTTCCGTGAAGAAGCTGTCGCAGTCCCAAAGGCATCATCTGGAAGCCACTGCTTATGTGACCGTGGCCCTCGCAGCCACGCTCTCGGCCAGTTGCTGTGCTGACCAGTCCTTGGCAGCCTTTGCCTCAAGCACAAGAGGACACAACGGTGCAGCTGCCTAGGCCTTGTGCAGGAGCCTGGGAGGAGGGGCGGGCAATGGCCCCTGCCTCCCCCGCTGCCTCTCCTCCGCCTTCGTGCAACACTCCCAGTGCTCTGGCTTTTGCACAGAAAGGAGGCAGTCAGTCCGCCCCCTGCTCAAAGCCCCCTGTGGGTCAAACTAAGTATGATTTAGCAAAAACACATTGGAGGCTGGGGCAAACAGCTAAGTCTGCACAACAGGGCTGTTGAACTAATTTCTAGCTGTGAGCCAAACCGAATTTCAAAAAGTTCTTGGGAACCATATTCCTGCAGCAGGTAAGGCCAAAATGCCCAAAACATCAGCATGTTTTCGCTTAAAGCTCATGGAGAGCCAGTGTGGAGGAGTAGTTAAAGGGGTGGGTCTGGGTTCTAGTCCTCACTCAGCCATGGAGCTCACCGGGTGACTGTAGGCCATCCAAGACACTTAGCCTGACCTACCTCACAGGATGGTTGTGAAGATAAGACTGAGAGGAGGAGGAGAAAGAAAATTAGGTAAGCCTCCTTGAGTTCCTGGAAGGGATGAAAAGGTGGGGTATAAATGCAATAAATAAAGTGGTGCTAGTAACTAACCCTTAGGAGAAGCTTTTCAACCTTGCAGAACATAGGAAACCTACCAAATGATCAGTGATTAGAAGAAAGAGGTCATGACCAAGGAAAGGTGTGGCTGTCTGGTGCTCAGCACCCCTCCTGTGCACCTTTACTCAGCAGGCAGACCCGTCTAGCTCTGTGGCCTTGATTCCGAGTAACATCCACTGGATTGAGCTGAAAATCAAAGGCGGGAAGGACAGCATGAAATGGCCACCCATTCATGGCCCTGCGCAAATGAATCACAGCACACCACTGGCTTCCTGCTTGCCGTGACTGTCAATCGCTAGCACTATGCCAAAAAATATTCTTCCACTTTTTTACTGTTTCATTCAATTTGATACAGAGTACATTGCTTTGGAAATGAAATTAAAAGGTGGAAGAAGTTTGGAGAAATTCTCCTGAGAGGGTCCAGGGTTCTTGTGCTAACAGTATCTCCCAGGTGCCCAAGGCTTGTGCATGAGTGTCCTGCCTTGTGTTGCACAAGGATTTCTGCAGTGCCCTGAAAAGCCCAGAGGCACATCCCACGCCAGCCTCCTGCCCTTAAGGCCTTCTCAAGTTTGAATATGCAGGGAGGCTGCAGAGCAGCGGAGAGAACAAACAGATGGAACCCAACGATTGGGAAAACTCAACGATGCTGCCAAAACAAGCCAGGACTGAATTCTAACAGTGCCTAAGAGTGAGGCAGAAGCACTGGCACCTTTCGCTCAGAGTGACTGTCAGGAAATCAGAGGGTGGATCCGAGCACATCCCGACTTCCACCTCTCCCCCTGGAGCTGAACCCACCACACCTGCAATATGGGGAAGATGGCGGCTGTGGTAGGCTGGCGACACAGTTTATACTTTTGCCAATTGCAGGGTCAGTAAAAAACCTCCAACACACCTGGGGAGGTGGGGAGAAGCAGCAGAAGCTGCACTGCAACACCTGCCAATCTGTGCACAACAGCTGGAGCCCTTCCCCTGCCTTCCACCTCCCCATTTCTCTGCTCACAATTTTTGAGAGACTCTTAGCAGAAGTTCTGGTAGGAAGACAAGATGCTTTCAACCTGGCAGGGCCCCATCTGTAGCCAGTCGGCTCAGTCCAACCTGGTGGGCACAGCATGACCCAGGCATGAATTGTGTACATATATCCAGCACCACACTGTATGCTCCAGTTTGTTGTTATTTAGTCGCAAAGTCATGCCAAACCCATCACGACCCCATGGACAACATTCTTCCAGGCTCGCCTGTCCTCCACCATCCCTCAGAGTCCACCCAAGCCCTCATCCACTGCCCCAGTGACTCCATCCAGCCACCTCAACCCCTTCTTCTGCCGTCAATCATTCCCAGCATCAGGATCTTCTCCAATGGGTTGTTCCTTCTCATTAGGTGGCCAATGTATTTCATCTTCAGTATCTGTCCTTATAAAGAGCAGTCAGGCTTGATTTCCTTTAAGATTGACTGGTTTGATTTCTTTGCAGTCCAAAACTTGCAGGAATCTTCTCCAGCACCACAATTCAAAGGCCTCAGTGCTTCGGCGCTCAGCCTTCCTTAAGGTCCAGCTTTCACAGCCATACATTGCAACTGGGAAAATCATAGGTTTGACTATATGAGCTTTTGTCAGCACGATGATGTCTCTGCTTTTTAGTATGCCATCTAGATTTGCCATAGCTTTCCTCCCAAGGAGCAACGTCTTTTAATTTCTTGGCTGCAGTCACCATCTGCAGTGATTTTGGAGCCCAGGAAAATAAAATCTGTCACTACTCCATTTGTTCCCCATCTATTTGCCAGGAAGTGAGAGGACCGGATGCCATGATGTTAGTTTTCTTAAAGTTGAGTTTCAAGCCAACTTTTGCGCTCTCCTCCTTCACCCGCATCAAGAGGCTGTCTAGTTCCTCTTCACTTTCTGCCATGAGAGTGGTATCATCTGCATATCTGAGGTTGTTGATATTTCTCCCAGCAATCTTAATTCCAACTTGTGTTTCAT